ATAGCAGTAGTAGTGCTAGTAGTAGTAGTAGTAGTAGTAGTCAGTAGTAGTAGTCGTACATAGCAGCAGCAGCAGCTAGCAGTAATAGTAGTAGTAGTAGTAGTAGTAGTAGTAGTAGTAGTAGCACTAGTAGTACTAGTAGTACTAGTAGTAGTAGTAGTAGTAGTAGTAGTAGTAGTAGTAGTAGTAGTAGTAGTAGTAGTAGTAGTGATAGTAGTAGTCGCAGTAGTAGCAGTAGCAGCAGCAGCAGCAACAGCAGCAGTAGTAGTATTAGTAGTAGTACTAGTAGTAGTGGTAGTATTAGTAGTAGTAGTAGTAGTAGTAGTAGTAGTAGTAGTAGTAGTAGTAGTAGTAGTAGTAGTAGTGGTGGTAGTCGTGGTGGTATTGGTGGTTGCGGGAGTGGCCGAAGTCGTCGTCGTTGTCGTCGCCGTCGTCGCCTTCCTACCAGCAGGAGTAGCAGCAACAGTAGTAGTGTTAGGAGGACCTGTGCTTGCGCCATGGACTCAGTGACGCCGCCTTGAACCTTATGGGGGGGAGGAGGAGGAGGAGGAGCAGGAGTCGCAGCATGGGGAGGGGAACACTTGAGTCGGTGGCGATGTAGTATGACAGTGGTGGTGGTGATGGTGAGGATGATGGTGATAATGGTGCTGATGGTGGTGCTGCTTCTAGTAATGATGACGGTGATGATGATGAGGATAATGAGGATGATGAGGATGAGGATGAGGATGAGGATGAGGATGAGGATGAGTATGATGAGGATGAGGATGATGATGGTGATGCTGATGATGATGATGCTGCTGATGCTGCTGCTGACGATGCTGATGACGATGATGATGCTGATGACGTTGATGCTGATGATGCTGACGATGATGCTGATGATGGTGGGTGTTGCTGGGCGATGATGGTGGTGGTGGTGGTGGTGGTGCAGATGATGAGGATGGGCATGAGGATTATGATTCTGATAATGAGGTGCTGATGGTGATGATGAGGAAGAGAAGGTTGAACAGGAGGGAGCAGGAGGAGGATAATGAGGAGGAGAAGGATGAGGAGGAGGACTAGGAATAAGATTGCGAGGCGAGGTAAGACGATTAGGATAGGATGGAAACGAGGAAGGGGGGGCGAGGAAAGCGAGGGCGGGGTTGGGGTGTGGACCCAGATGTAGTGGGGCGGGTGCCTGATCTTGGCGGCGCCTGCCTGGCCTGCCTGCTATCCCGACCTCCAAATTTTATCTGAGAGCCGCCAAGCCTGCATTGGCACCCATTCTGGCCAGGCCCCCCTCTCTTCTCATTCTCCCTCCTCAGCCGTCCTCCGTTCTTCTCGCTCCCTCTTTCTCCCCCTCTTCCCCCCCTCCTCCCTTCCTCCTCCCTCTCTCCTCCCGTTCCCTGCGTCTCCCCCTTCTCCTCTTATCCCTTCCCCTACTCGTCCTCTTGCTCCTCCTCCTCCTCCTCCTCCTCGTCCTCCTCCCCTTCCTCCTCCGCCTCCCCCTCCTCCTCCTCCTCCTCCTCCTCCTCCTCCTCCTCCTCCTCCTCCTCCTCCTCCTCTGCCTCCGCCTCCGCCTCCGCCTCCGCCTCCGCCTCCTCCGCCGTGGCGCGTCTTCTCCTCCGCGGGCGGCGGCCTGGCTCTCCCGGGTTCGTTGGGCCGCCGGCCCGCTGGCCCGCTTCGTGGGACCCTTCTGGCTTTGGGGCGTGCCCTCTCCGCCTCCGCCCCCCCCCCCCCCCCCCGCTTTCCTCGGGCCCTCCCTCCTCCCCTTCGACCTTCCTTCCTCCGCTCCCCTCCCCCCGACGTTTCTCCGCTCCTGGCCGCCCTCCCCTCCCGCGCCAGCCTGCCCCTCCCCTCCTCCCCATCCCTTCCCTCCTCCCCTCCGACGCTCTTCCGCCCCTGCCTGTCCCCCCCTCCCGCGCCTCCGCCCTCCCGCCTCTGCCCTCCCGCCTCCGCCCCTCCCTCGCGCATCTCTCTCTGCTCACATGCTCGGTCGGGGTGCAGCCCTGGGCCTCCTGCGGTGGCAGCTGGGGGCTCTGGTGCCGCTTTTCGGGCGGGGCCTCCCGCTCGGGTTGCGCAGCGGCCTGGGCCGCTGCGCTCGACCTGCCTCCCCTGCCCTCTTTCTCGCCTCCTCCGCCTCCTCTTCTCTCCTTCGTGTCCGTTCCTGCCAGGAGCGAAAAGGAAGTGCAAGTAACGCGGGTCAGCGATTAAGACCCCCTTTCCCCCTCTTTTTCTGGTGAAGCGATAACGCACCAAGCGCCCTGAAGCGTTAGCCTGGCACCCTGGCACTTGGCCGTTGTTTAGCACTTCTCTGGAGCCCCCAGCAACAATCGAACGTGGCGACGGTCTCGCAATTCGCAGCCCCCCATGGATGGCGAGGTCCCGCTCTGATCTGCGCAGCACCGCATTAAGCTGGGCCCGGCAACGCCATTACCAGCGTTAGTATTACTGATCGTATTATCTAGGTTATTTGTTATCACAAGTTTAACAACGAGAACTACGACGACGATTATTTTTACTA